ACTTAAAATCAATAAATCTTCCCAAATTCAGTTTTTTGGGGTTTTGGGTTTTTTGTTTTTTTCTTTTTTCTTTTCTTTCTTTCTTTTTCTTTTTTTTTTTTTTTGCAACAGAGTCTTGCTCTGTCACTCAGGCTGGAGGGCAGTGGCTCAATCTCTGCGCACTGCAACCTCCACCTCCTGGGTTCAAGTGATTCTTGTGCCTCAGCATCCTAAGTAGCTGGCATTACAGGTGTGTGCCACCACGCCTGGCTAATTTTTTGTATTTTTAATAGAGACAGGGTTTTGCCATTTTGCCCAGGCTGATCTTGAACTCCTGGGCTCAAGCGATCCTCTTGCCTTGGCCTCCCAAAGTGCTGGGATTACAGGCACGAGCCACTGTGCCTGGCCCCAAATTCAGCTTTTAATTACAATTTGTATATTATTTTTTCTTTTTTCTTTTTTTTTTTTTTTGAGATGGAGTCTCACTCTGTTGCCCAGGCTGGAGTGCAGTGGCACGATCTCAGCTCACTGCCAGCTCTGCCTCCTGGGTTCACTCCATTCTCCTGCCTCAACCTCCCAAGTAGCTGGGACTACAGGCGCCCACCACCACGCCCAGCTAATTTTTTGTATTTTTAGTAGAGGCAGAGTTTTCACCGTGTTAGCCAGGATGGTCTCGATCTCCTGACTTCGTGATCTGCCTGCCTTGGCCTCCCAAAGTGCTGGGATTACAGGCCTGAGCCACCACGCCCGGCCGATTATTTTTTTCTATGTATACTGACTCCAAATAATGCAAATTTTATTCTTTTCTTTACAATTCTTATAACAAGTTACATATTTGTTTTTATTGTTTTACTGAAGTGGCTTAAGACTTCTAGTATAATATGAATAGAAACTGTGATGTGTGCTGAGCATCTGTTCAACTCTGATTTCATGGGAAAATTTTCACTATTTCTCAGTATTATTTTTACCTTAAGAGTTTTGTAGATACTCAAAGATCTAAAAATTCTCTTTTAGTCTTAGTTCACTAATAACTTTTTCATGCATGGGAGTTGAATTATTAAACCTTTTTCTCATGTATTTAGATGGCTATGTGATTTTTCTCAGTTATTCTGTTTATGGCATGAACTATGTTGATTGGTTTTCATTTGTTAGATAATTCTTGTGTTTTTGAAAAAATCCACTTAGCCCTGATATATTGTCTATTTTATATATTGGTGGATTCAATTTGCTGATATTTTGTCTATAACTTTTGTGCTACAGTCTTGGAAGACATTGGCCAAAATCTTCTTTCCTTTTCATGTGTATGTCAGATTTTGATATCCAAATTATATTTGCTTCATAGAATGTAATATTCTCTATTTTTTGAGTTTGCATAATATTGTTATTATTTGTTTCTTAAATATTTGGGATAATTGATCAGTGAAGCCATTTGTGCCTAGAGTTTTCTTTGTGTGAAGATTTTTAATTATACATTTAATTGATTTACTAGATATACAGCTATTCAGATTTTAATTTTTTAATTGTTTTTTTTTAAATTGTGCTTTTCTAGAAATTTTTCCATTTCTCTAAATTGTCTAAAATGTTTGGCATGAGGATGTGTAATAGTCTATTAACTTCTTAGTGTCTGAAAGGTTTGCGGTGAATTTAATTTCTAATATAGGTAATTTGTGCTTTTCCTCTTTCTGTCTTGACGAGTCTTGTTAGAGATCAATTCATTTTTATTAGTCTTTTCAAAGACCAAACTTTGGCTTTGTTGACTTTCTCTAAGGTGCATTTGTTTTCTATTTCATTACTTTCTTTTTGTTGTTGTTTTGTTTTGTTCTCTATTTCATTAATTTCTTATCTTATTTTTATGATTCCCTTCCTTCTACTCACTTTGAGTTTAATTTGCTGTTCTTTTAAAACATTATTCAATGAATACTCAGATTCTTGAATTTCAGCCTTGTTCTTTCCTAATACAAACGTATAAAGCTATAAGTAAAGCTTTAATTGCATCACATATTTTTGATTTGTCATATATTATTATTAAGGATGAAAATTCTCCACTGTGGGCCGGGTGCGGTGGCTCAAGCCTGTAATCCCAGCACTTTGGGAGGCCGAGACGGGCGGATCACGAGGTCAGGAGATCGAGACCATCCTGGCTGACACGGTGAAACCCCGTCTCTACTAAAAAATACAAAAAACTAGCCGGGCGAGGTGGCGGGCGCCTGTAGTCCCAGCTACTAGGGAGGCTGAGGCAGGAGAATGGCGTGAACCCGGGAGGCAGAGCTTGCAGTGAGCTGAGATCTGGCCACTGCACTCCAGCCTGGGCCACAGAGCGAGACTCCGTCTCAAAAAAAAAAAAAAAAAGAAAATTCTCCACTGTGATTTCTTCTTTGACCTATGGATTATTTAGAATTTTATTACTTAATATTTGGTGATATTTTAGGGTTTTTTTGTTATTGGTTTCTAGTTTAAGTTAACATACTCAGAAAATTCTGACTGATTTCAGTTCTTGGGATTTTCTTAGAACATCGTTTTTGGCACAATATATGTTCAAATTTTAGAAACATTTCATGTAGACTTGAAAAGAATGTATTAATACTTTTTGTCATCATTATGAACAGTATTTTGTATGTATCTGTAGGTCAAGTTTGTGTCAATTTTGTTTTTCAGATCTTTCATATCCTCATTAATTTTTTTGTCTGATCGTTCTGTCAGTTATCAAGAGAGATGTGGTAAAGTTTCCCTCTGTGATTGTAGTTTTATCTATTTCTCCTTTTAGCTCTCTTCATCTTTGTTTTATATACTTTTAGTGATATGAAAGTTATATATAAGCCAATAATTATTATGTTTTCCTGATAGACTGACCATACTGTCATTATAAAATCATTATCAATGAAAAAATTGACCACACTATCATACTATCATTATAAAATGGATGACCATATTCATTCATTACAGCATTAATCTCTCTGGTAGTGTTAGTGCTTCATGCTACAAATCTACTTTGTCTGGTATCAGTATAGCTACATAGCTTTCTTTTAATTAGTGTTTACTAGGCTTTTTTTTTTTTTTTTTTTTTTTGAAGCAGACTCTCATTCTGTTGCCCAGGGTAGAGTACAGTGATCATAGCTCACTGCAGCCTCAAACTCCTGGGCTGCAGGAATTTGAGGCAAGGAATCCTTTTGCCTCAGCCTCCCAAGTAGCTAGGACGACAGGTGTGCATCACCACACCAGCTAATGTTTTATTTTTGTAGAAACAGGGGTGTCACTATGCTACCCAGGCTGGTCTCAAACTGCTGGCCCCAGGCGATCCTCCCTCCTTGGCCTCCCAAAGTGCTAGGATTACAGGTGTGAGCCACTCGACCCAGCCCTTTTCTTTCTATCTGTTGTGTCCTTACATTTAAGGGACATACAGTTGGGTTTTTATTCTTATCTAGCATGACCATATTCGTATTTTCATTGAAGTAGACTATTTACATTTAATGTAATTACTGATATAGTTAGGTTTGTATTTACTATCTTTCTATTTGTTTTCTGATTTTTTTATTTGTCCTACCTGTTTTAGGTCATTTTCTCTCCTTTCTTGCCTTCTTTTATATCAATCCAGTATTTTTCCCTGTATTAGCTTCTTAGTTATACATTCTTCTATTCTTCTTATAGTGGCCACTCTTGCTTACTATGGTCCAATATAAGTGATATTTTTCCCATTTCTGAAATAATCCAAAGACCTTATAAAGTTTAAACCTGTCAACTACCTCAGGGTGTTTTTATTTTTATCATAGCTTTTATTTTTTATTTTATTTTATTTTTTTGCTTTGTTTTTGTTTTCTTGTTTGTTTGAGATGGAATTTCGTTCTTGTTGTTCAGGCAAAATCTCAGTTCACTGCAACCTCCACCTCACTGGTTCAAGTGATTCTTCTGCCTCAGTCTCTGGAGTAGCTGGGATTACAGGTGCCCACCACCATGCCCGGCTAATTTTTGTATTTTTAGTAGAGACAGGGTTTCACCTTGCTGGCCAGGCTGGTCTCAAACTCCTGACCTCAGGTGATCCAGCTGCCACGGCCTCAAAAAGTGCTAGCATCACAGGTGTGCGCCTCTGCTCCTGACCTATCGTAGCTTTTAATTCTACAAATATTTAATCCCCCATAAGATGTCATTGTTATTGCTCTGTGCAACCAATAATTCTATTGCATTTATACCAAATTTACTCTTTGAGTTGCCCCTCATTTTTTCCTGCATTTTCCACAAACAACTGATAAACTCTGGGTGATGTCTCCAAACACTAAGAAGTGAGCCAGGGCTCTAAGGGACCCTGGAGGGTAAAGCTGAGATGTAACAGGAGTCACAGTGAAACAGAACCATAAGTCCTAGGTTCCACCAGATGTGCAGTTTGAACAACTTATTTCATATTTCTGAACCTCAGTTTCTTCTCTTAAAATCAGGATTGTCAGGCGGATCACGAGGTCAGAAAATCGAGACCATCCTGGCCAACATGGTGAAACCCCATCTCTATTAAAACAAAAATTAGCCGGGCATGGCAGTGCACACTTGTAATCCCAGCTACTTGGGAGGCTGAGACAGGAGAATCGCTTGAACCTGGGAGGCGGAGGTTGCAACGAGCCGAGATTGCGTCATTGCACTCTAGCCTGGTGACAGAGCGAGACTCCGTCTCAAAAACAAAAACAAATCAGGATTGTACACTCCTTTGCGTTTCCTGTTTTGCAGGTATATTGAAGATTAAATGAGGTAGCAGATGTAAAAGTACTATACGAACTACAGCAGGGATTATAAACTGATCTATGGACTATCGGCAGGCAGCAGACATGTTTTCTTGACCTACAGAGAGCTTTCTTTCTTTTCTTCTTCTTCTTTTTTTTTTTTTTTGCAAGCTAATGTTAAAAAAAATATGTCACATAAAAATACGAATTCCTGCCTTTTTCCCTAGAAGGAAAATCTGAAGATCTGGTGACTGTAAAAAACTTGCAGATCTGGTTTCACATCTGTAGAACAATGAGGTAGGGCTGATTAGTGCTTACCCTCTGCCTGGGCGCAATCTCAGTTGGGTCAAATCCCGCCATTCTCAACAAGGACACACGTGCACTCATTTATGTGGCCAGGTTTACTCCGCTCTGCCTCCTTTCTTATCGCATTTCATGGCTCTTGCTAAAGCATTGTATCAACAATAGTCATTATTACCCATTTAAAAGCCAGGGACACACAGAGACAGAGCTTTCTAATGTTGTGTTGCTAAGCGCTGAAACAGGTAACTGAGAGAGGTTGCAGAAAAGCTTTCCCTGGAGATCTAAAAATAAAACCAATTGGTTTTTATCTATAGACTTTCCAGGATGCAGGAAAGGGGCAAAATGACTGTACCAAGGTCTTTCCAGGTTTTAAATTTGGTTGGGGGTGGGGAGGAGCTATTTTAGAACGTATAGAAGCAGATGTCAAGATGAGGGGAAAAGGCTGGGCGCGGTGGCTCACGCCTGTAATCCCAGCACTTTGGGAGGCCCAGGCGGGCAGATCACGAGGTCAGGAGATCGAGACCATCCTGGCTAACACGGTGAAACCCCGTCTCTACTAAAAAATACAAAAAACTAGCCGGGTGAGGTGGCGGACGCCTGTAGTCCCAGCTACTCGGGAGGCTGAGGCAGGAGAATGGTCTAAACCCGGGAGGCGGAGCTTGCAGTGAGCTGAGATCCGGCCACTGCACCCCAGCCTGGGCGACAGAGCAAGACTCTGTCTCAAAAAAAAAAAAAAAAAAAAAAAAAAAAAATTAAAAAATTAAAAAAAAAAAATTAGCCGGGCATAGTGGCGGACTTCTGCAGTCCCAACTACTCGGGAGGCTGAGGCAGGAGAATGGCGTAAACCCAGGAGGCGGAGCTTGCAGTGAGCCAGGATCAGGCCACTGCACTCCAGCCTGGTAGACAAAGCGGGACTCTGTCTCAAAAATAAAAAAAAAAGAAAGATGAGGGGAAAAAAAGAAAAAAAAATAGAATCTGTATGCTGGAGCAGGGGGTGAGGGTGTGAAGATTTTTCATGGATAGATTATATATTGTAATATAATTCAGCATTTGGAAAACAAAAAATTTTAGAATATAGGCAATAGAAAGGGCTTTTATCAAAAAGAGGCATAGATTTGTCAAATCGTATTGAACTGTCCAGTTAAAATCTGTGAATTTCACTGTATGTAAATTATATCTCAATTAAAAAAAAATACAAAGTGAAAACAAAATTTAAAAAGGGAGGCAGGAAGTAAAGTCTCATTCTAACCTGTACCAGGCACTTAGTATATGCCAAATACTGTGACTTACATGGATTAATTGGATTATTTTATCCTCACAGTACCCTATAGGGTAGATACTATTATTATCTCCATTTTACCAAGTGCTGAAACTGAAGTTCAGGGTGATAAAATTATATACAAACCTCTCCAACTGGTGTCTGGAAGAACCATATCTTGCGTTTCAGACTGAAGGACTCCAGGGCCCAGATTCTTACCCACTCATTTGGATGATTGCAAAAAAGGAGAAAATTAATTACTATGAGCTTAAGGAGGTTGAGAGAATGTAAATATAACTTACTAGGGTATCAGTTTGAACATCTAATGAGGAACACACTTTGCTTATTCAGTATTAGGTACATGCATTCAGAAAACCCAAGCCACTCAGAGAATTACCATTGGATTCTTATGGGCAAGGTGATCAAACTCCATACAAGAGGAAAAAGGTTCTTCTGAGGCATTAGTAGCTTCTTTCCAAGAAAAATTACAACTTTCTTGGCCTTAATGGTAAATAGCTTTGTTTTCTGACAGGACATCTTATGGTATAATGTTTCCATTTTCAACAAAATGCACTCTGAGCCACCCAGCCGGGTCATCTGTGTATCTCGAGACCAGTTCTGTTATTTATTTATTTATTTTATTATTATTTTTTTTTTTTGAGACAGAGTCTCGCTCTGTCGCCCAGGTGACAGGAGTGTGATGGCACGATCTTGGCTCACTGCGACTTCCACCTCCTGGGTTCAAGCGATTCTCCCACCTCAGTCTCCTGAGTAGCCGGGACTACAGGCAACCACCACTGCACCTGGCTAATTTTTGTATTTTTAGTAGAGATGGGGTTTCGCCATGTTGGCCATGCTGGTTTCGAACTCCTGACCTCAGATGATCTGCCCACCTCGGCCTCCCAAAGTGTTGGGATTACAGGCATGAGCCACCATGCCTGGCCGAGACCAGTTCTTAATCTGATAATCTGATGACTGCTAAGACCCTCCACAGCAAAAGTGTGTATGCACACATATATGCAAAATAATACTATAATTTCAGGAGGTTCAGAGGTCCCCTGAAGGTCACTGGTGGACCCCCTAGTTAATAACATTTGCTGTAAACCAGGATTGAGCCAGATTCCAGGGATAACCAAGCCAGCCTTCAAATTCTCTGATTATTCCAGGCAACTTATCATCAGTGGGCCAGTCGTTTGGTTTTAGTTTTCTTCTTTCCTAATGACTTGAGGTCCACCTCTTGCTTTTTCATTATCTCCTGTAAGCTGGTCCTGGTAAACACATTTTAGGAGATGCTGCCTTTGTTGTTTCTCATTCTTGTTACCCACCTTGGACTTCTGTAGACATCTTTGGCAATTCACATTTATTCACCAGGACACATACACATACACACACACACATGCACACCCTTAAGTATCCTTCATTGTGCACAATGCTTGCGGTCAATTTAATCCTCATTTCACAGCCATTTCAGTCACAGCAACTTGTAAAACAAAGGTCTATTCACAGGCCCACCATGTGTGGATGTTCAGGTTGTTCACTGGACAAGAGTAGCTGGTTTGGGTTGGAGGAGCTAGTCACTGCAATAGAAATTGGGCCCACGCTGTCCTCCTCAAGCTAGATGCCCAAGGCTGGTTCTTCCTGGAGGAATGGGCATCTTTTTCTGAGTCACACAAATGCAGTATATGGGGCAATGGCAGTCCTGCCCGATTAGCAGTATCACCAAGAAGTCCAGAAGACTGACATATCAGAGGATAAAATACCCATGTCCCTATTCTGATTTTGTATCACCAGTCACCTTGTCTCTTCTTTCTTTTCAATGAACAAAACTTCCAGTGTTCCCAGGGCTACATTTGCTTAGAAGGAGACCCGAAGGATCCTTGGTCTGTATTGCCCATCTCCATTTCACAAGATTCAGGTTTCTGCTATGGCAAGCTGAGAGGGAGAAAGGTGGATGATTCCATTAGCATTTTCCCTCTCCTCTTTGCCGACTCAGTCAGCCATCATTCATATCTTGGCTCAAGCATCACTCCTTCAAGGACAGACAAATCCCCTCTTACAGCAACTACATTTCTCTCTTGCATTGAACTTACCACCATTGCAATTTCATATTTTCTTAGATATTATGGATATACATATATTAATTGTATATATATCCATACACCTCAAAACGATGAGCTTCATGAGAGTGGGGGCCATTCTATTTGTATTTACCATTGCATTCCTATTGCCTGGCACATAGTCGGTGTCTAATTTAATATTTGTTTTACTGAATGAATGGATGGGAGATAATTAGCCCAGATTGTGAGAAGTCTCGGAGTCTTGGTGAAGAGTTAAGACTTTCCTACAGACAGTAGGAAGCCTATTTTCTGGGCTAAAAGAACTTCTTGTCTCAGTCCAACGTTCTAGTTTTGAACTGTGTATTATAGCTCTGGCATTCCAACATCATTATTCTTCTTCACTCTTACTCAATTTCAGAGAAATTTTCTAAAATCTTACTTAAAGAAAAAGAGGCTACGACTCTACATGCTTATCTGCTCTGAGAGGCTGCATAATAGGGTGGTGGCTTAAAACATGGACCTTGGAATTGGGTAGACCTTGGTTTTAAACCTGGGTTGCCCATTTGCTGGCTGTGTGATTTTAAGTAAATGATTTCATGCCTCAAAACCTCAGTTACTTCAATCTGTAAATGGGGATAATAATATCTTCCCCAAAGGATTGAATGAGTTAAGCAATGGAAAATGCTTATTAGAGAACCTGGCCTTTAGTAAGGACTCAATCAGTAGAAGTGTTTATTATTCACTAGACTGGATCCTCATAAGAGTGGCAGGGAATAAAGCACCCATAGGAACTGGGTCAAAAAGAGTTAATACATGGCATCCTCCTTTCTTATTTGCCTCTCAGAAAATATGGAAGGAGGAATACCTTAACAGCTGATATAGTTTATGGGTTTGTTTGATAATGAGTCCCTTATGTTCCCTAAATATATCTTTGTGTCTTACAGTAATCCTAGTTCTGTGGCAGATTTTTTACTTTCCCTTTGACACCACCCATCACACTGGGGAGAGGAAGAAAAACTCAGCCAAAGCATTGACTAATGATTCAGCTTCTAAACTCACAGAAGCATCCAGATTGGAGGAGCATGTCAAGGACCAGCCAGGAAACAAGTGAAGGCTCTGGTGAGGAATGTGGCTTTCTAGATGACCATGGCAAGTGCTCTTTGTGAGCGTAGGCCAAGCAGTTGGGGGTATTAGTTCCATTATCCTGAGAGTAGTGAGCCTGGGAAGGTTGGCATCTCAGTCCTTGCAGAAGGAGGCAGTGTGGGTGATGGGCTGGGGACTTAAATCCCCGCATCTAGTGTAGACTTCCTTATTCAATCCTGTTTCTCCCATTACCAGTTTCAGCAGAAAGTCCACAGCCTGAAGTCAAAGAAGAGGCTTATTATGTTTCCCAAGAGACCAGTAAAAGTTCTATAGCTTCTTTGCTCAAAATCATAGTGTTTCTTTAGTTATCAAACTCTCTATAGGGCATGAATAATTTGAAAATTGCAAAACTCTAAGAATGAGGTAAAGAAACTAGAATTATATTGGCCTGCTTCAGGTAGGGCCTGGAGAGCTTCTTCTTCTCTTGCTCTAGACAGAACATGTAACCCATCTCAAGAGGTTCATTTCATTGATTCCACAAGCATTTATGAGTGTCTTGCACTGGATACACTGGAATTGCACTGGGTACAATTCCAAGCACTGGGGATATAGAAGCACCCCCTACCTATTGCCTCTGTGGTGGTAGATTTGTGTTTTTTGTTTTTTTGTTTTTGTTTTTGTTTTTTGTTTTTAGATGGAGTCTCACTCTATTGCCCAGGCTGGAGTGCAGTGGCGTGATTTCAGCTCACTGCAACCTCTGCTTCTTGGG